CGGATGTTCTTGTTGGTGGTGGAGTTGGGAGCGGCGGCGACGACGGCGGCGGCGAAAACTGGTTTGGCGATGGATATGGAGATTCAGGTAGAGGAAATGGAAGCATGGAGGAGTACTAAGCAATTACGCAAGATTTCTGAAGGAGGTAACGATTTGAGAATGCCCTAGAACCGAGTTTAGAACAATGAATTGAATATACGGGAAAATGTGTTGAATCTGCAGGTGAAAGGGGATTTAGTGAAAGCAGAAGAGTACTGTGAGAGAGCGATTTTGGCGAAACCAAATGACGGCAATGCTCTCTCTCTCTATGGAGATTTGATTTGGCAGATTCATGGAGATGGAGATCGTGCTCAGATCTACTTCGATCAAGCTCTCCATTCAGCCCCTCATGACAGGTAAAATTCCATTTCAAACTGTTTCTCATCATCTTCTTCATGTATGGGAATTCAGAAACCATTTCTACTGGGATTTCTCTGATTTAAGATCTAAATTTGTAATCATAGTTCAGAAGTGGGTCTGAATAGGGAATATGAACTGTTTGAAATGCAGTTATATTCTGGGATCATACGCTAAGTTTCTGTGGGATGCTGGAGATGAAGATGAAGAAGGAGATGCAGTAGAGAAAGAGAGTACTAAAACAAACACACACCCTTCTCATCAAAATCCATCACATTTTACAAACTTCTATGTAATGTAAAAATATGAACATATTGAAGAGTGTATTAATCATGATCATAGGCTAAGTTTTTGTTTGCTTGTTTTCTTCTTGTTACATGATTATTATTTCTAAAAGTGCAATGTTTGTAATAGTAGAATTAGAAAGATATTTTGAAGTTGTAGCATTTTTCTGTGATGTATAAATCCTTGTATAATTATCATCTTTCATCGTCATTCTACGGCTTTCAATCTACTATCTTGTTCACTAAATGTGAATTACAAGGTCAACAATTGTGTCTAATAAGTCGGCTTCTTTCAAAATACGTCTGATAATCAGCTTTTAAGAAGTGTTACCACATGAACTTAAAGAAGATATTTAGTAGGCGTTAAGTCTAATACAATCTTTGACTTTATTAAATCATTTTTAAAATTTTAGATAGACAAAAAATTATTTATGGACCTATTATTTAATTGCACCTTATAAAATTCAAGAACCCAAACTCCTATTTATTTAGGTGGATTTACAGAAGTCTCAATTTTGTAGAATACAATGAATATATTTTATATTTTTGAAAAAAATTATAAAAATAAAAAATTCGCTAAATAAGCATTTTCAACTTTTTAAATAAATTAAAAATTATTAATATAAAGATTATGTCCATGATAACGTTATTATGATGACATACATTTTTTTTTTGGTTGATTTTTTGTGATACTATAACAACATCAATTGAATCCATACAGAGAAATATCAATGAAAATATCGACAACAAAAATTTAATGTTTTTCACCCATACCAACTCGCCACAATGAACAGTTCTTGCTCGAATAATGAAACAAAGCTCTTAGAGACCCACTATTGAAGGAAATCCATTTTCTGATTCAGATATCACAAGAGTTAAATGAAAAAAGGAAACATGGAGGGGGGGAGAGAACAAGTAAGAGATTTTGATACAGAAATTATGGCATTAGAAGCACAAAGTTGAAGCAAAGAAAGAAAGAACATATGACAATCATTTTTGTAGGGTGTTGATTATCCCAAGGTTTTTTTTTTTTTTTGTGAATCTCAATCTCAAAGTTGGGAATAAATATAATGAAAAAGAGGGCAGAAACATAAATTAGATCAAAAAGGAAATTGACGAGAGAAGTTACATACAATGGCTAAGTGCAGAGCTTGAAAAGAAGCAACCACCAGCAACCCAAGCGAATGCGAATCGACGCGAAGCGAAGCACACAAGTGAAGAGAAGTGAAGTGAAGACTAATTTGCTGCTATGGACAGAACAGGACAGGACATGACACAATAATAATACAATCACAAGCCAAATCCCTTCAGTTCTTTCTTAATCCCAAAATAATTCCAGAAAGAAATCTCTTACCATTTTCGTATTTCCAAAATGGTGTATGCGCTGCCTTCCCTTCCCCCCTTCCTTTAGATTCTGCTGCTTGATGACTGCTCCATTTCTACACCTTCTTCCACCAAGGTCTTGTGCTGCTGCTGCTCATCATGTTCTTCTTCGATCACTGCCTCTTCGTCCGACTGGTTCTCGGTTTCGCTTGCCTCAGCTGTCTCAACTCCATCCTCTTCCTGGCTAAGAGAGGCCAATGCCTCATTTGTTGCATCCAACGAAGCAATTTTCTCTTCGTCTACCGATCTTGAGCATGCAGTCTTTTCCGTGGTTGCATCAGACGGTGCCTGTTTTTCCTCTTTCTTTCCATTTGTAGATGCAGTCTTCTCCGCACTTTTCACCTTGGATGCAGAGGATTTTCCTGCACTTGCCACAGCACCAGATGCTATCATAGTTTTCTCAGAAGGCAGTCTAGGAAGAGACCTGCGTTTTGGCTTCTCTGGACGGGCAGGAGAAACCCCCTTGGAGGAATTGTTATTCAGGGATGCCTTCTCGTCAAGACTTAAGCGACCTGATCGAACATCGCCACCATCATTACTTGAAGAGTCTGCCAGGGTGGCTGAGCCCTTCTTTCGGCCAAGCTTGGGAGATTTGGCTCTTGTAGGTGGTATCTGCATCAAAATATATTAGCTAAAAATGTGCTGGTGCCAACTTAAGATCAACTTAATTAATCAATAACAGAATGAGATTTTTGACAATGAGGGAGAATTCATTAGCAAGGGACCAAAATAACTAAGAAGTGTACTTCTAAACCACTATGCTACGGTAAACCTTCACGAATTCCAGGAAACTATAATGATATCATCTAAAATTGTCACCCCCTAAGAATCTCGGTCACGTGACATGCAGGTGATGACAGATAGCAGGTAAAAGACCTACCGGGTCCCAACACCATAGTAGAAATTATTATATGAAAGAAGGAAAATTTACCCAATGTCTTCTTGAGTCGTACTCAAAATCCAGACTGGGCAGAAAAAATACGAGAAGATTGTGTACTTCCACAAGTTCATGAGAAGACCAATAAATTTTAAAACCAATATTAATTAATTACAAATTCAATCTCCATTTCAGATGCAACATGTTACCTTTTTCAATTCTGCTTTGGGAGGAGGTGGTTCCTGATAAAAGCTCGGCATGGGAGTTGCTTTAAAGTTCAAACTTTTTCTGAGCATTTTAATCTCAGCCTCTTGAGTTTCCTGCAACAGAGGAACTTTTTTCATAATATGAATCGAATGTTTAACAGATTGAAATGATAATGGAGACAGCAAGATACCTTGGACTTAGCCTGCAAAGTGCTCTTTTCTACTTCCTTAGCATGTATCTTTTCCTCAAGTTTGGAATAGAACTGCCTCACATTGTATAAAATAAAGGTAAAAATTTGAACACAGAAACAGCTGGAGAAGAGGACCAGTAAAATAACAATAGAGTGCATGGAAATGAATATAAAAACAGACCTCTTTTCTTTTCTCAGCACGCTCATTGCATCTAAAACTAAAACCATAGTTAGGAAGTCTCCCAACCCTATGTGGTTTTTCTTCCCCTGCTCTTGGACTTCTATCAACAATTCAAGGATAAACTCTTGGATCCAACAAAGAACAACAAATAAATAATGTGAAACGATGTCTAAATATTACCACAATTTCATTTCGGGTAAATCTATCTGTATGGTAAATAAGAAACGAAGGATACAAAGAAGATTCTGATTCTCCTTCTGATTTACTAGGATGACCTTTCTTCAAAGGTTTCAGGTTCGTATTCTCCCTGTATAAAACAGTCACAGCTTATCACTTTTAGTAATTTAGTGGAAAGTTAAAACTTTCTCCGTTCATATTGTACACAAAACTAGATCTCAGATTAGATATAAAGCGAATAAAATATTTAAACCAACCAAGAAAAGATAATAAAATCATAAAAGCAAGCAGAACTTACTTGGAGCCTTCCCCATCAGACTTCTCAGGCTGCTGCTGCTGCTGCTTGAAACAGATGGAAAGAATATGAAAAGAGAATCATCAATCAGAAGAAGAGATAATCAAAACTACTACAACAAGCTCGCAGGGAAGAGGGGGGTGGGAGGGTGGAATTCCATGGTATTTCTGAGGCAAGAAGCCAGTATGCAGAAAAGATTACCTTTGGAATTTGAGCTTGCCTGTCATTGAATGATCTACTCTTGCTAGGCTGTTTCGAGTGTGGATGTGATGTACCTGAACCATTTAAAAGAGCAGCAGTCTGTTCTGCATCTTTTCCATCTTTATTCTTATTCACCCCAGTCGAAGAAATGTGTTTAGGGCCTGATGACTTTTCATTCTTGCTCTTGGTTTGACCCTTCTCTGATTTTACTTGCTTGGGAGGATCAACATAATTTTCTTCTCCTTCCTGAAAAGAGTTCAAACAAGGAAAAAATTACACCTGTTAAGAGTCAAATAAGATATACTACTTAATCTAAAAGGTCAGATGAAATGAATTCGGTTGCCTTAGAAAGGGTTGATATATTATTTTCTGCCGGAAAATTTGATCCCTCCATGAGTTCCCTAGTAGTCGATTCATTAGTTGCGCTACCACTCAACTTGAGAGAATTTTCCATATTTTCTTGCTCCATTGTAGCCCCTGCATCTTCGTTAATGCCCTCGCTCACAATAACTTTAGGAACAATATCCTCTGAAGAGTCAGACACATGCTCATGAAACCCATTTTGAAGGGTCAGTTTGAGTCCCTCAGCAGGTACAAGGATTTCTGATTCCATCATTTGGTGTAAACTACAACAGATAGCAGAAAACAAGCCCCTTAGCATATAGAAGAAGAAAGAGATAATACAAGTCATCACGTAGAATTCTCAATCATAATCATTACGAATGGAAATATTTCCTGATATATTCACCATTACATAAATTAGAATGACGTTGTGATAAACAGTTTTATAATACATAAGAGAATTCTCAATTACACAAGTTCTTGCTACTCATCAGGTTGATGCCATACATTTACATTAAGCTTACAGAAATTATCAGTTGAAAGACAAACCTAAAAGAGCATTCACCCATTTCATAGTTTCCATAATTTATATGACAACCAAATAGCATATCTGAATAAAAAGAATTTAATAGCCGCAAGTTAGTTCCAAAATAGTTTAAAGAACAACACAATTACACATATCTAGAACCAGGACACGTGGTAAATGATGGTCTGAAAACTGTCAACCCTTTTTTCCCCAAAAAAATCGAACAAAGACTTCGGCAATGATTTAAATAATTTTCCGTCGACTTCGTCATTCAACCAATAAACGGGATATTAATAAGCCGCCCTTACTCGTCAATCAATCACATTACAGAAAATCTGTTACTAAACAACCAAACGAAATCCAAGAAATCCAACCATCCTCACACTAATAACCTCCGATTGCAGATTGAGGCACACATGCCAAAATCAGAATTCCACCATTCTCATATTATTATCCAGATTCAAGCATATATTTCGAATGAAAAACACCATTCCGAGTCGATCTATTCGTACAGGAAGCATGCGGCGTATTAATCCATCGAAAAATAAAGCACAAAATTAAAATACATCTACTAGTTTTCCGCTAGGCCGCAGGAAAAAGAGGAAAGAAAGCGCAAGAAACAGACGCTAAGCTTTCCCCTCCCAAACACAAACACAGAAAAAGCATAAGATTCATCGCCACCACCATCAACATCAACCATTCCATCTCCCTCTCCCTCTCCACAGCAAGCAAAAAAACACCAGAAAAAATTATTAAAAAAAAAACACTGATACACTCACTCACCTCGAGAACCGTGCAAAGGATCAGAACTTCATGAAAAAACAAGACCGTATACCCTTGGATTCGAGGCGCGAAGCAGGCGAAAGGATCTGGAGAGGCGGAAGGCGGAAAAGATAATGCCGGAGCAGAGATCCACGGATCCGAAACAAGATCTAGCGATTCAAGCAATGGAAGAAGAAATTGGGGGAGCTTGAAGATGAATTGAAATGGAGAAAAGAGAGGGAATAGCGAAAATCTCAGAAGCGGGGAGTGGAGAGGGCAGCATTCAAATCCATTTCCAGGTCAAGTTCGCACTCTATCAGAGAGAAAGGGCGTGAAGAATACACAGAATTTTAATGGAAAATTTTATTTATTTATTTATTTGTTAAATTATTTATGGGGTATAAAAAAAATTAGAGATTGGGAAAAAAACCAAAAATAAATTAATTATATACGGTTAAAAAAAGGGAAGATATTTACGGTTACACGATTTTACAGGAAAAATGTTCACACGGTTAATTAACCGACGGGCCCAGCCCACACTTCTCCCCCATCCAATCATCCCAAAACTGAATTTCTGTTTTTTCTTTCTTTTTTTTGTTAAATTAAAATTTTAAATTTTCGTTATGGTCCCTGAATTTTTAGTTTATTTCATCTTGATCTATGAATTTTAAAAAAATAATCATATTAGATCGTGAACTTTCGTTATGCATTTATTAGGCAAGGAACTTTAAAAAGTAATCATTTTGATTATTGCTATTATTTTGATAAGTTAATGTTTGTTTGTATATATATAAAGATTTAAATATAAATTTCAGAAGTAGAGATTAAAATGAAATAAATCTACAAATTTAAGGGTTGAAATAAAAATTATAAAAATTGGGGACCAAACTAGTATAACCTTGAAATTTTAAGGACGTAAATGAGATTTAAACCTTAAATAAATATTGTTTTTAGACATTTTAGTCTAAATCCTAGATTTAGGATCATGTGTTGGCTTGCTACCAACCTTTTTTTTTTTCAGTTTTCTTAAAATATATTTTAGATCTTTTTGACTAAATTTAGAAAACAAAAGACAAAAGTTTCAAAACTACAATTTTATTTTCATTTTTTTAGATTTTAAAAACAACATTTTTAGATGGGATTTTAAAAAGATTTAACAATGGAAAATAAAGAAATTTTCAACTCGTTTTATTTTAGTACACATCTAGATCAACGTCTTGTGAATAGACTATCAAATAGTTCCTAATCATAATCATCGTAGAATGATTACATGAGATAGTATGATCTTAGTTTTGTTGTGAGTTAAATACATCTCAAGATTAAAGTTATACGAACATTTTTTTGTATCGATACTTATGATGAAATGATGATAATTTTTCACTGGTTGTTTTATAGAATCTATCTTTATTTATTGAAAACTAAGTGGCTTATCATATTATGAAATATCGATAAAAATTTTAAAATTTTAAAATAAACAAACAAAATTGTATATTTATATATTGAAATGTGTCATTCAATTTTAAAATTTTTATAAGGTTTACAATCACCCCATCTTCCCTGCTACCCTATTTTTAGGAAAATGGAGTACTCATACATTATTGAGATTTATTGCAATTAAATGGAAATAGACATGTTTCTAGAAAATGGACAGCAAATAAAACCGATTAAAAGTGAATAATAATTAATTGTGTTATTGGCTGAATTTTACCTTCCCAATCTGTTGGTTGTTTAAAATATTTTTCTTCGACTTTAAAACAATGATTGATCTTACATTAATGATGTTTTAATGGTTTCCATTTATTTATTTATTATTATTATTTTGTAGTATTAGGAGACAAAAGTTTCCAAAAATAGGAAAAAAGTTGACCAAGCAAATTAATTTCAAACCATCTATTATTTAAAAGAAAAAAAAAGTTGTAAACCACTATTAATCAATTAGTTTAACTATGGTAATTGACATCTACTCGGTTCTCTTGACAGAGATTTGAACCCTAATATCCCCAATTTATTCTACTAAGAAAAATAGTTTAGGTCTTTTTCAAAATAAAATAAAAAAATTAATTAATTTAGATCATTCACATTTGATATCACGTCATGTTAGAAAATTTTCGATTTGAGCATGTTTTAAATTAATTAAATATAATATGTAATTTTTTTCCCTCCATCTTCTTGTTTGTAATATAATATTTTAAGATTTTTAAAAATTTGAAATAATTCAAAATAATTTACAAGGTTAAGTTATTGTTTATGATTTACAAAAGAATGTTACATGATAAGTTAGCAAAATAATGGGAATGTTCATAAATGGGCTAGTTTTAGTGACATCATATAGTTACGTTTTACATCTCACATTATTTATGGTTATCTTTTTACTTGTCTTAAAATGAAATAAAAAATAGAACATTAATTATACTTCTAAATTATATCATTATGTTCATCTAAAATCATTAATGTCGAGTTGAGTCTTGACTTGAAGTAAAAAAAAAATAATAAAAAAAATTGAGTCTTGATTAATCTCAAACTGCAAAATTTCAAAAGCTAAGAGGTTGTTCGAGAACTGTATTCATGACCTCTTTGGTAACGTTATCCGCTATTGTTTTTTTGTCTTTCGTTTTCAATTTTTGAGAATCATGAGTGTTCTTGTAATTGTTTTTGTTTCTCGTTTCTCATTTTTCTAAAATTATCTATACATTTTAGAAACCAATAGAAGTATTGTTTTACCATTTTTTAATTTGTAAAATGCATAATAAAAATACAACATAAAAAATTTGAATGATTAATTTTAAAAGTTAGAATACATATTAAACATTTGTTTAATATAAAATTGTAAATGAGAGAGGAGAAACAATAAATAAATAAAAGAAAAAAAACATGAATGTTGCGACGCATAATGATTTTAATTTTTTAGAACAAAAGTTTCATACGAGTTTGGTTTTTTTTAGTGTATTTTCATAAATGATTTTTTTAAAGAAAATGAATATTGTTATTCTTTTCAAAATTATAAATTTAGTAATTTCAAAATAACTCATTCCATCACAATTTCAAAAATATAGTTATGAATTTAAAAACAAAAAATTTCCAAACAAAAGACCGTGCTTTAAACTACATCAGTTTACACGTAATATTGTTGTTTTCAAATTCCAAAAATAACAAAAGTATTTTAGTTCTCCCAGAAATACTAATATAATCACTTCTTTTTTATAGTACTAATACAATATAATCAAATTAAACATCGTTATTTCAAGTATTCTATATATTACATACATCCCACGTTAAATTAATAGAAAATAAATAAATAAGTAATGGGCGGCGGCGGCGATGGTGGAAGCGAGCGGGAGCGGGGGTTATGCCGGCGGCGTCTGACAACAACCGCTACATTTTGTATTTCTTTAAATGCCCCCACCGCATTCCTCGTTCAACCTTCACATCTGAGGTCAATTTGGTCAAACCACTTTCCCCCGCCTCGCAATTAAAACCACCTCTTGTCCCGCCGGCGGTCGTCGTGGATTTTTGTATTTTCCGTTTGAATTTGAATTCGTAATTCAAAAAATATATATATATATATATATATTTCTTTTTTTAGGAGGTCATTGTCAATGGAAATTCAAATTTAATGGATAAAATATTTCGACCATGGACCCAGAGTCTATTAGTTAAAATAATATATTATCATGATTATTTATTCAAACTATTATATAAAAAGAAGTTTTTGGTTAAAATCTTATTTTGTACTAAACCATTCATATTCATTCTATCTTTATATTTATTTTTATTTGTTTGTTTGAAAATAAATTACGAACATGAAATTAATGCCAAAAACCAAGTTAATGTTTTGTGTAAAGTTCAGGAATTCAAATAAAATATTTAAAAACACATTTAAAAATTTAGATATCCAAGATATCCAATGTTATGAGTTGTTCAAGTTTTGTTGAGTTGTAATAGGAATTGAGGATGATTAAAAGAGACGAAATTAATTGGATTGGAATGTAATTAAAGCCTAATTACCTACTTTGAAAGAAGCTCCTCGATCCTTTTAAGCCAAGTTGGCTTCCTAGTTCACAAATTACCTTTTTATCCTTACACACGTTTTTCTTTTCTTCAACATTTATTTGCCCTTTTGGTAAAATTAGTTCAATAGCTATTAGATTCATGCCTAGGGTTTAAATTTTAAGGTTAAAATCTTTGAAAAGAAGAAATTAAAGGTTAATTACATGCTTAGCTCCTCTGTTTTAATTTTTTTTTTCTCTGTTTGAGTTCAAGAATGTCTCTGTTATGAGTGGTAGGTTTGAATTTATGCATTATTAATTGTTTTTTTAATAGTCTAAATATATGTTTTAGTTATTATTGTTTAAAATTTTTAATTGTGTACCATACATTTTCACAATTTTCAGTTATAGAATATTGGTTGATGAAGGTTAAAATTGATTGATGATAAGTATGCCTAACATAATAGTTAGTGAATTGGCAAAAAAATTAGAAAAGAAATTAAGCTATCTAAAAGAAGATAAATTCAAAGCTTCTACCAATTTAGAGGAGAAATTGAAAAAAATTTAACTTTTAAGCCAGCTCATTTTACCAAGATAAATTTATCATCAATCAACTATAACATCGATGAACATAAAGGATTATGTAAAATGTTAAGAATGCAAGAAGTCCATTTGATTTTTGTTTCGCATTCGCCCTCCCGTGCACCCGCCTTAAGTGGGGCCAATCCCACGGCTAAAATAGTCGCGCCAGAAGTCGCGCAGTAGCTTCCTGTGGAGTTTCTTGCGTATCATCAGGTCCGTTCGGTTGGAACGGCAAATTCACCTTTTTGAGGCTCGGGTCGAAGAGCTAAAGTAAAAGGCCGCCGAGCTCGTGAATCGTCGTTCCATTCTTGGAGAGTCATTTGAACCAATAAACCTGGTTAATAAACTAAAATTTTTAAACAACAAAAAGTACTTTTAAAACTAAAATTTTAAAATTTACCAATAAATGAAAATTAAACTAAAATAAAATTACTTAAATTTATTTTAATAATTTGACTTAACAAAAATAAATAAATTAACAACAATGAATTATTTTAAATTAATTAATATAAATTAATTATAAGAAGTTAATTTTGATTAATTTTAATGCTTTATAATTGCATAAAATTATTAAAAATAATCACACGACCAAACATAAATATTATTTATTTATATGGAAATTAAACATCATTTATTTCCATGAAAATTCGATAATATTCTCAAACATTTAATTCCAAAGTATACGTTATAGATATATAGGCAGCGTTTTTAATATAATATTAGCAAAATGGGTAGAAGAAGGAAGAAGTTTGAATTTTCATTTTGGGGGAAACAAATGGGGAATAGGATGGTCAGTGAGCGGGACAATCTTATCCCCATCCGGAACTAGGATAAGGATAGCGGGAGCCGGAGTCCAAATAATCCCCGGCAAGGCACGTGACCGAGTGGAGAGAAACACGTGAGCGCTTTCAGCTGCTGGGTGGCACCACGCGACACCGGCGCGTGCAACCCGACCGCTGCATGTTCCGTTCTCTCTCTTTCTCCTTCTTACACTCTACTTCTCTTCCCCTTAAGAAGACATTCCAACCAATTTTTCATTTTGTGGGCCCCACTTCCACTCCACCCAATCATTTCCTCCCACGTGGCACTCTATTGCCACGCTGGACCCTGCCACCTGGGTCCCCAATTTTTCTATGTTTTCCTTTTCTATATTCCTAATTATATAGTTACGTAAAATATCACGTTCGTAGTCCATTTGAAAACCGGACACCTGAACTACTTGAGGGTGTGAGTAAGGGTTTACACTCGAACTTGCATTTGCCTCGTTTATTTTTTATGCCAGAGATTTATGTATAGGTTTCAACAATATTCCAAACCCATTTCTTAACTTAAAATATCAAACTCATGTCCTAATTAACATGATCAGCTCAACGGTAAGTAGCACTTGTCTCTAACTTGGAGTCGAATTCTCTTGTACTAAAAAAGAAAAATAAAAAAACTCATGCCCCAAATGCCTCCGTGCCATAAATAAATTTGAACATAATTGAAGGTCAAAGATTTGAATTCTTACCTGCGACCTCGAACACTTGCCCACATTAATGAATAAATAATCAAAACATGTGCATATGTTGTTCTGGTAAACAATTTAAAAATGATGGTAATAATAAGCGCATCAAAAGAGTTCATTCAGACCAAAGAATTACAATAATTTAGAAAAAAGAAAGTGACAAACTGAATCACAGTCCAAAAGTCAAAGAACAGCACGTAAATTACATTTTTCCCCCCTCAAAGATTGAACCTTTTGGAATGAGGATAAGATTCTTGGAATTACACTGGATAGAAGAACAGAAGAATGAGGATATAAAGGGAAAAATGAAAAAAAAAAGTGGGGTTTTCAAGGACTGGCCCATGAGCTCACATTTTTGGACACACATCATTGTTCGAAACCCTTTATTCCAAATGCTTCTTGTCTACATTTTTACATTTTCTGCCCACACATTCATGGTTTTCCCTCCCAATCTATCACTTCATTTTCTACCCAAAATTTTCTTCTCTCTTTTGCCTTTTCATACCATATTAAAGGGTGAAAGACGACGACGACGACAATGACAATAACGACAACAACAATGACAACGATATGAAAGAAAAGGCAGATCATGATGATGCAGTTTTGGAGTTTTACATCACAAGTTTGCAGAAAGTTGTTCTGTTCCACTGTTCATTTTGTTAAGCAGCACAAAAAAAAAAGGCACAGAAGAAGCTATCTCAGAACATATTTTCCATCCAAAAATGACCACTCTTAATGTACATAACAAAGCAAACAAAACTGTTCATTTCTAGTATTTCAAAAAAATGTGAGGAACAGAAGCCAATGTACAAGAAAATGGTGTTGTGCAGGAAGTATAAGAGAACTCATCTGTGGAATGAATTCCTATCCCGGAATCCTTTCGAGAGTTGTTGTCATCTTGGCCCAGAGAGCTTGACCGCAGAAAGATAGGCGTCACTGTTGCAATCGGATGGCCCGGAGGAGGTTCCTCCCTCGCTGATCGATTTGAAGAAACTCGAAAAGAGGCGAGAACCGAGCGGGGAGGAAGTTGGTGGCGGAGGAACGGCGCAGAGGCCTTCGAGCATTTGGACTACTCTAGTCATTGGTGGCCTGAGGTGCATATCTTCTTGTATGCACCACAGTGCAACTTTAATGGCAGTAAAAACTCTCTCGTCACCTTCATTTATGATCAGATTTGAGTCTAGGATGTTTTCAAGCCTTCCTTCTTCCAACATTTTGAATGCATAGGCTGGGAAGTGGGATTTTTCGGAAGTTTCTGTCGAGTCGAAGCTTTTTCTTCCCCCGATTATCTCAAGCAACACCATCCCGTAGCTATACACATCGCTCTTCTCTGATATGGCGTAGTTGGTGATCCACTCTGGGGCAAGATACCCTCTGGTTCCTCTTAGAGTCGTAAAAACATGGCTTTGCTCTCGTGTCATTAGCTTTGCTAGACCGAAATCCGATACCTTTGCGAGGAACTTGTCATCGAGAAGCACATTTTCGGGTTTGATGTCGCAGTGAATGATCTTTACATCACAATCTTCATGGAGGTAAGCTAGTCCTTTAGCTGTTCCTAGTGCAATATTGAATCTTGTATTCCAATCCAACAAAAAGTCTTCTTTGTTCTTCCTAAAAATCCATTTATCCAAAGATCCATTTCCCATGTACTCATAAGCAAGAAGCTTGTGTGTTCCTTCAGCACAATAGCCCTTTAGCCTGACCAAGTGAACATGATGGATGCTCCCAATTATGCTCACTTCGGCTCGAAACTCCTTCTTGCCCTGACCAATTGCTTCCAATTTCTTCACGGCAATTCGAGTTCCATCAGGTAGAACTCCTTGATATACTGAGCCGAATCCCCCTTGACCAAGTTTCATAGAGAAATTATTGGTTGCTGTTTGAAGATCGTTGTAGCTGTACCGAACGGGCGCCCCGGTCAAACCATCCAAGAAGTTATCGTCCTCGGAAGTCACATAAGGAGTTCCTGGAGGCTTCTTCCTTTTCCTGTAGTAACAAAATGCCAAATAAACTAGACCAAAAATGACGAGCACAGTAAAAACTACAATAACCGCAACAATATGAGAGTTCATTCCACCATTTTTGCTCCCACCATTGTTATCACCACTGCCTCCGTTGCTCAAGACCTTGATGTATGAAACAAAGTCAGAGCCCTCATTGGAGTTTTGAAAGCCACCTACATTGTCCAGCAAGAAACAGTTCCCCATTCGGCTTTCGAAGAACAATGCACGGCAAGAACAGTCACTCATGCAAGAGTTTTTGCAACCATTTACATCAGTCTTTGAAGTGGATGGAAGGAACCCGAGTGCGAAATATTTGAGCCCAGTCCCTGCACTTACAAGCTCTATACTCCCATTTGATTGATCACAAGGAGAGACAATCGAAGGCTGGCAATTCGGACTTGTGCTAAGGACCGAAGGGCATTGGCATCGATTCCCACTGTAACATATAAAATACGGGCCACACGGCTCCGGTGTGCTACAAGAGTCTTCCGGTATCCTAGTACGTGAAGCCACACCAGAATCTTGAAGATTATAAAAGGAAATGAAGCCATCATCTCCTAAAACCGCTATCCAAGTAGCGTTTTCATCGGTATTGCTCGAGAAGATGAATTGCCAGAGCAACACATTGCTTTGATCATAGAATCTCCAAGAGTTTGCGCCAAGAGTTGCCAAAGAGACCGTCCCACCGTCTTTATTAATGGTTTTACGGTTCTCCTTAGCCATAGACCAGTAAGGCTGCGGGGGTTGGAAGCCAGCTGAAAGAGTCATATCACCAGACTTCATTTCAAGGTAACAGCTCAAATTGTTGTTACTAGGATCACTCACAAGTCTCATTCCTTCAACAAAATCCTGTCCTGATAAAAGAGTGTCAGTAGGATGGCTAAAACTCTGCCAAACTACGCCCCCGTCGCTCTCGTTCACCCGTAAAACCAAATTTCCCGAGTTCTCCAACTCTAGAGCAGAAACCCCTTTGTCACTGGAATTTGTAGACCAAACCACAACATTGCCTTTCTTTAACACAGCATTCCCCTTCTCATCAAATGTAAACTTATCAGAATTTGCAACAGGGGAGCCCCTATTTGCAGACCAAACTACTTTCAAACTTCCTGTGTGGATGACAGCCAGCAAAAACATTGTCACATCTTGGGTTGTCACAAACCCAAATCCAAAGTTGGAATTATTGGACAAAAGAAACAAGCCATTGTTATCAATCCAGTTCATTTGAGAGCCTTCAAATCCTGGAGAGACTTTGCCAAAACTTCTAGTGCTGGCAAGACATACTTCACATTGAATCAAAATGGACAGAAATAACCAAGACAATAAGCAGATGAAACTGAAACCACAAAAATTTGAATCTCCCATGGCTTTTTCTCAGAATCAAACTCCAACCCAGTTGGGAAAATCAGTCAGGGAAGAAGAAAAGAAAACAAAATCAATCTTCTCAATATCATATTACAAGAGCACCAAAAATCCCCAAATTCAGTCTACTCTGCATACTCGTGGGGTAAAAGAAGAGGATAATATTTTAAAGCCTGATTAAAGAAATTAAATCCAACCCCAGTTTCCATTGGACCTCAGCAACAATGGGTATTGATTGATACCAAGAGAAAGCAACCAGAAGAACACTGAGCTCCAATGGCGACTGGTCAAATTAATGCTTGGGGAAGAAGAAAACAGAGGCAATAATGAAACTTATCTCTGAAGAATCGTGCAAAAGGACCAAAACCCAAGAATCTAGAGGAGAAGCAGATGAGGTTCTGAGCAAACGGTGGAACAATTCCGACGAGACGAGGAACAAGAGGCCTGTCGCTGCCTTCTCTTCTATGGTGGTCGGAAAAATGGCAGGAGAAAAAAATGAAGTTTGTTGAGGAGTTGGAATTTTGTTTATGTCTGTTTCTTCTATGTTAATTTTTTTCCACAGCTAAGAAGAAAAAGATGAGCAAAGCGTTCATACAAGGGTTCATCGGCAATAATATTTTACGCTTTTGCTTCCCTTTCTAATTCTCTCTCTCTTGCGACTTGTGAGATCCCAAAAGATGAAGATCAAAAACCCTCTTACATTATAATGAAAATTTGTTGGGATCATAAATTAGTTGTCAATTTCTGAATTTCTAGATGATGATGATGATTTGTATTTAAACCTTTGGTGCTACAATCCAAAGTGATGACGTTTTTTGATCATGAACTTGCTAAAAGATTGGGCTACTTCAGTTATATGGTATGATTTATGGGAAGTTCTGTGATATTCGGTGTTTGGCAAGTTTAAATTCATTTCAAAGTATTTGAAATTTCGCTACGTCTTGAAGGATAACTTGTCATGATTCTTCCATTCGAACGGAATTTAGTGGATAAGATATCTATTACTATTGATAGTTCGATCTCCCACTGAAACCGTTGAATTTCATAAATATAAGATGAAAATTGTCATGATTTAGACATTACTTGACAATCTTTAGTCATATTTGACTTTTTGTAGGTAAGATTTGAGAATAAAAATAGTCTTTATACGCACAAAAGAGTGAAATGTTATAAAATCTCACGTCACGACGTCACGTGCTTGAATTCATGTCCAGACGTGAATTTGTGTTGTTTTTCAAAAAATGAGAGGATATCTCCAGAAAAGGTTATAGATCCTAACCCAAAATTATGTTTCCTCTATTGAATTGAAAATTTTGAAATTGTAAGGACCTTTTTGCAATTTTATGGTTGATTTTGATGAAGTTATTTTTGCAATCATCCCAAAGGAAATGAAAATTTTCAATTGGGATAATGTAATTAAATGCAAGTTTGTAACATAAAAGATAGTAGTGGGGGAGGTGATAGTTCTTGGCATATTTTTTCTTATCTAATAAAAAATAATGCAAATTTTATTTATAACATAGAAAAATATTGATGCCCACATGCTACAATCTTGGTTGTTGGTTGGCTCCAAGTTACAATCCTTCAACTAAGTACAATTTCTCTATTATTTTATTTGACCAAGTTGAGATTCTTAAGTGCACAATTGAAAATTTTCATGTTCTTTCTTCCACATGTAAAGAATTTTCAATTTGAAAAGGCCAAAGGCAAAAGGGCAAAATCCCTTAAAGGATTTTTTCCAACCATAGCAATGGGATAAAATTTAATTCAAGCTTTTGAGGTATTTCTTTCATTTTTCATTCTACCATTGGACAATTATATTATATTCCTCGAAATCATAGTCATCATCCCTCTTCATATTGACTACTAATAATTTGACAGCATTTTTTTCTTTTTATTTTGTATTTCTCTTTTAGTTGTTAAAAATTTAGTGATTGCCAGTAAAAATTGGTATTAACTGATTAATATTCAAATACTATTATGCCTATAATTGATAAAATGACCCATTTAATAAAATTAAGAGAAYGAGAAAAAGAAAAATAAAATAAAAGTTAAAGCAATCAAATGAAAAATAGAAGCAAAAGGACAAATGTCTCATAAACTTAGAAAGCAAGCATGTGATAGTTTTGAAAGCTAAGTAATGTTGTCTTCCTTGTGCTTTGTATAGATATTATATGTCAAATTGCATGGGAATACCAAAAAGAAAGCATACCAAAATAATATTTTCTAATATATATATATATATAAAAAATTGAGAAGAGAAAAAAGTGATTAATATTTTCACCCACAATTGATTTATAAAAATGGCCTTTAATTTGGTTTGAAAAATGAGCCAAAAGGAAGTACAAAAGTCATATACTTTTAGACTTGGAAAGGGTGTCCATGCCATGACTTTGGCTTTTGTGCTTCAAAGATGGGAATAGTCTTTGGAGAAAACAACAATCAATCAACTTTCCTATAAAATTATTCCTATGTTTCAAACCAATGAAAAAAAAAAAGTTATAATACAATTGGTTTCAAACTTTTGGCTATGCACCTATTGGTGTTTCGGTCACTTGTCCCAATCTTGAATTTATAAAAATGTCGATGGCAATACAGATCAAAAAATCGACACCATGAATAGATTACAAAAACTATATGCCTGTGAGAATTTTCTGAAGTATCAAAGAAAATAAGGAAGATCATTATCCTTGATTGCGAGCGTTTGGACCCGCTTGCATAAATTCTCAACTAATTTTACCGGATGATTTTACTATATTTGATTGTTGGGGACAATACAAAAAAAATTAATTTTTAGATAAGTGACCATTATGGAGTTTGAAGATTTATATTGAGATTTGGCTTTCCTTATTTACGTGCATTGCATCTGAATTGGCGAAAAAGAGGTTGGCTTTACTGAAGAAGAAGGCTCATTTGGATCAATGAGCCAATCAATAATAGTTTTATTCATCTCTCAGCAAATAACCATTACCTTTGTAATAATTATAGACATCATATCGATTGTGTTATGCGCAGATTGGTAGCAATAAGTCTCTATATTGGATAGAAAATAATATACAATTGACTTGATAAGTTAATTATGAATGTGATCAATGAGCTTCATGATATGATATTTTATTTTAATGGTAACATGCGTGGCATCCATTGAAGTGCATAATGGTAATTAGGAAGAAAATGAAATTTGTGATATTATATTTTGTTTTAATGGCGTAGGAGAATGAAAGTGTGAATTTGAATCTCTTTTTGGTTGAAAAATTTCATGAATATACTCTTTGGATTTTTGTTATTTATTATTAATGCTGGAGATTTGTAGTCCATCAAATTTGAGTTAGAATATTGTCTCTTTTAAATATCAAAATATAAATACCATAGCTGCATATGGCTACACGACATATTTATTAATTTTGTAATATAAAACAAGCTGCTGTGGCATTTAAAAAAGAAAGAAAAAAATTTCATTAAATCCAACTTTACACCAATTTAAATAAAATTAATAAAAAAAAAAGAATTTACTTTAACACAAAAATTTCAACCAGAAAATTCTTATTRTTATTTGAATAAAAATAATACTCAATGACCTGTTGATCCGAATCCAACAACTGTCACAATTCCCCGCCCCTTGTATTAATTTTTTTTTGTTTACAATTTGTTTTTGTAATAATTTATGAACTAAGTCCCAATTTGTTAAAATCATGTTGGGCTTGGGCCACTTGAGGACAGTGAAAGATGGGCCTGCCTTCAAATAATTGGCCCAGTAAACGTGGTCGAAATACAGCAACCCGGCACTAGAWYTTTTTTTTCAATATATATATTATATATTATACCTTTTAYGATTATTATTATTATTTAAATATTTAGCCATCAAGTTGCTCGTAAGGATAAAATTGACATAATCATTGTGTTTGCCGCTGGATTCTTGTACTTGTACACGAAACAATAGTTTAAAAAGTCAAATTTGTATTAAAAAATTCATCAACTATTGACCGTCGAAGTTACCAAAACATTTAATTTCAATGGCAAGTCATTCCAAATAAAATAAACAATATAYGTTGGCAAGAAACAGATAAATCAATACCATTTCATCGAGCAAACTTGAGTATAATTTAACTGGGTAAGTAACTTATTTTCGACTAAAAGATCATGAGTTCAAATATTCATCCATTTTACTTTAAAAAAAGAAAAAAAAACAATTCGGCCGAGATAGAGATGCCAGGTCAGCAAATTTTGAGCCATATTTCTAATAAATTACTAATTAATTCCTAAAGCTAATCAGACARCCAATTACAGCAAGGAATATGACTTACAAAATAATGCATGAGTTCAGAGAATCTTGTTCCTTTGATTTGAAAATCCAATTCAGAGAACAAGTGGCAATTGATTAGAATATCATTTGTCCTTATAACTGGGAAGAAAGGACCAAAACCTTGAAGCTACAACAAATCTGTTGAATTACATGTTTAGTCTCCAACATTATTGCTCTGTTTTATTAAGTCTTCAAATTTTTCGTGCCAAATAAATTTCCTAAACTTTCAATTATGCATTTAATAGAACTTGAACATTCCTACAAATCAATAATCTATTATACACAAAATATAATATTCAAGTTCTTATTAAATACAAAATTGAAAGTTTAAGAATTGATCAAGAAGACAGGAATACAAAGAGCTATTTGTCACAATTTGACACAATTTCTGAAAGTTCAGTAGTACTAAGATTTACATTACATGAAGCTTTTAACAATAATGACAAAAGAATGAAAGTTCATGAAATTTCAAGCCGTTTGAAGTAGAAACAACAAAATGGAAAAGGAAAAAAAAATGTGTGAAAGTTTAAGAATCCAAGACTAAGATGTGCATTTTCAAGAAGGAATGTGCGGATACTTGAACTGGAGTAGGAAGTATGAGTCTTCCATTATCAAAACCCAGAAAACAATATCAGCTGTCCAGAGTCAAACAAAAGTTCCCACACCATTTTTCTCGCACAAATAGCAGAGGAAACAAAAATTATATCACTTAGACAAAGAAATAAAACTACTAATACAGCATGGACACAGTATATATGATGTAAAAGGTAAGTGTAGATATCATTGAGGAATGTAGTAATACCCGCCCATTCCGTTTGCTGGAGGCATCCCGTACGGCATTGGAGCCATCATTCCCGCTGTGTAGTAACCTGGGGGGTTACTGATTTTGTTCAAACTGCTCTGCCCCTGCATCCCATCTCTTGAGTACTGCTGCCATACCTGCTGCTCCTGCACCAGCAGTTGCTGTTTCTTCTCCATCTCCACCATTTGCACGTATGAAGGCGGTGGAATGGTTAACGATGCGGCGAAAGGATCCTGATTCACTGCCTGAACAGTTCCATCTGGAGCTGGAAGAGCCAGTACAGGAGTTTTGCTGTTTCCAGGGCCGGGCAATGCTACACTGCTAGCGCTTCCACCACTCAGTTGGGCAGTGCTCGTGTGCTGCCTGACCATTCCTTGATCATACATGCCATTTAGCAATAACGGGTCGAGACCG